ATGTAAATGACTTATATAATGAGCCCTCCTCCTTTCTTTCACCACCCCAAAAAACGTAAGTCAGCACTTTAAATCACTTTTACTGAAGAAAAGTAGTCAAAAATAATCAGGCAAGGCAGGACATTATCTAAGGCTTACACTGTCCTGATCAACACAAAGGTGGGGGCTCATGTTTATTTCTTTAAAATTTGTGCAATCTTGTTAATTTTTAATGATTATTATTCAGATTAAGTATTTATATAGAGAGAAACAAATACTTGGCTATGCATTTTAACTACCATACAAGAGACACTGAATTCATCCTTCTTTTCTCATATTACACCTTATGATGGACCTAATGCCTCATTTTCAGATTAATTTCAATTCCAGTTGGCAGCTTTTGAGAGCAGAGTAAAAAACCAACACAATTTCCAAATTGTGGAATGGCACCAGAGTGCTGCTGCCATCTACAGACCCAGCTTTCCATTTGTTACCCCCATATACACACTTCCTCTTGTTCTCGCTCACACAGACACACACAAGATAAACAACCAGGGGTTTTAACAAAAAAGGAATAAGCAGAGATGCTGGGCTACAGAGCATGCATGCAGACATACATCAAAGAAAACTAGTTTTAGACCTTACAGGGTCACCAGTGTGCACAGCTCAGAAGTAATGGTCAAATGCAGTTTTAAGAAAACATCAAAATAATGATGTGGACTTAGCCATGTTTAACTATAATGTAAAAAAACAGAGTAAAAATAATAAAAAAACATAGATTTGACAATGTCAAATTTTAATTAACATTAACACCATTATGATTAATTACCTGTGACTACTTTTGGGAAGTTGAAGTAACAATGTTCTTTATTACTAAAGTCTGCAGACCAATTTTCAACCACTCACCTTTAAGCAACAGTTTTGTTTGGGTATGAGCCAGTTTGACTTTAGTAGAGTTGATTGTTAATAACCCAGCTCAATAACAGTAAGGTATTCAGGTCGTGTAACTAAACAACAGACCCGATCATCCCCCCCCCTCCACTTTTATCCTTTGTATGTGGTGTGGTTACTTCTCTCCAAATATGGTGCTGTGTATAGAGGCCATGCAACTTAACTCGTTCCCTATCAGTCTAAAATAAGTCAATTGAATTTTTGAGAAAATATGTTTTTGCATGGTAACACACTTTAGATAATGAAATAAATGTTAGCATCAGACAAATATAACGATTGATGCTACCACTGATGTTGCATCTCCCACTGAGATGCTGTTTTTTTACATTTAACTATGATTCCCAGGGATGCAATGTCAGCTGCAGTTGTCAGTGCAACAGCAAATACATAAAGAAGCAAACCCATTTTTTCTGCCCTAAAAATCCATCCATCCATTTTCTGTGACATTTATCCCTGTTGAGGTCGCGAGAGTTGCTGGTGCCTATCTCTAGCTGTCTACGGGCGAGAGGCGGGGTCCACCCTGGACAGGTCGCCAGTCGATCGCAGGGCAACACAGAGACAAACAGGACAAAAACCATTCACGCACACACTCACACCTAAGAAGAATTCAGGGAAGCCAATTAACCTAACAGTCATGTTTTTGGACTGTGGGAGGAAGCCAGAGTACCAGGAGAGAACCCAGGCATGCTCAGGGAGAACATGCAAACTCCATGTAGAAAGACCCCAGGTCGGGAATCAACCCGGAACCTTGCAGCAAGGCAGCAGTGCTACCCATTGTGTCATTGTACAGCCCTGCCCTAAAATCATACTACCATATACATTTTTTTTTTAAAGACGGGAAAGTTTTTCTCCTGGCACATCTTTAAAAGTGCACTTGTTCAGTCAGTCCAAAAAAGATAAAAAAAAAAAACAATCCACCTGTTAAGTCTTCTCCTAATCCTGGAAACATAAAAGTTCATATCTCTTTAGAGGCAAAAGCATCAATTTCTACCTTGTTATAGTGTTAACACACACCTGTATGTTACAGCTGATGCTTTTCGATTAGGTGGTCAGATAGTGTTATTCCAAACGAATACTTTTATTAACACAATACTTTGAATGCCAGACCTGTAGGAAGATGTATGCCTTTTTTGTTTGCTTGTTTATTTTAACCATACACTTAGCATAAAATCAAAGACTGCACATACAGGGTTTGTTTATTATAAATATGTAGTGAATCTAGGTAATGTTAAAAGAAAAATATATAGTTACCTAAGTAAATTCCCCGTATTCAAGAGAAAAGATATGAAAATTTTAGTGTAACACGGGAGTAGACAGCCTCTATACCCTTGGGGTCCCCTGCTCTCAGGTAACCCTGGAAACTAACGCCTGCATTTCATTTTCTTGGCACCAGCTGCAGGCAAACTGCATTAAAGATCCCAGCTTGGTCCCCACATCACCTCCAAGGTAAAAGGTGGAAGGTAAAGGATCTGTGGGGGGGCTATATTGACTAAAAATAGCCTGATTTTCTACTGAATACAACCAAGAAGCAGCAGGTGACATGCACAGAATGGACAGCTGCTCAGAGAGAGAAGTGGAGAAGATATTTTTGAAAATGTCATGCACCGGTTTTATTAGCATACCCCTTGTGTGAGCTTGGATGCAGGCTGTCACAGTCTGCAAGCATAACGGGCAAGGACGTCGGCTCTCCTGCAGAGCCACTGAGATTTATGATATTTCTGTTTTAGCAGGACACATTTGTGAAAGGGTCGTCATCATTTCTGCCATCTATCCTCACTGAGATAAAATGGAGAAAGAAAAGCAGCAACTCTTTCAGGAGCATTCCACAGATATCTGCTCTTTGGAAAGGTTTCTTGTTCAAACCGCCACGTGTTCAGCTACTTATACTCAAATGAAAACTGTAAACGTGAATGAAATTCCCTCATGAAAGATGGGGAGGGTGGAATAACCCAGTCATTTGCTCAATCTGCCCAGGATGACTCAGCTTTTACAAGGATCGCTGTGAGAGCACCCTGAAGGGGAGTGTGACCAGTGATTCCTGTGGGTTGGCTTCAACACGTGTCCCTGCTACACAGAGGGGAAATGTTGTTACACTGTCGGCCACACTAACTGGAAAACAGCTGTATTTAGATTGTTAGTGGTCTCAGTGGAAATTAGACACGCTGAAAAGCGAGCTGACCATCTAAACTCTTTTCTATTCATCACAGATAACTGGGACACAGCTTTGAGGGTAAAGACATGGTTTCAAATGCAAACAGAATTCCCCCTGGATATTATTTGTCATTGCAAATCAGATAAAAATGTCCTAATTTCCATTTCTCATCTTCTAAAACACATTCTAAATATTTCCTTCGACACACTTTAGGATACAGAGCTGAGTAATTGAGTGAGGAAGGCAGTAATCTACAACAACCTCTGGCTGTTTTTCCACACACACTAAATGCCTGTTTTAACCAATGTGCCATTTGTGGCAGTGAAAGCCAGGAGAGTGCTGCCCCACTGCGTTTGCACTCAGTAACTGCAGCTGCTCGCTGTAACGACACTGATGCAGTCACCTCGGCTCTTAACAACTTGGCCTATCACCCGACAACAGAGGAACTCTCATTACACTCCATTATACACTGCCGGAGTAGCTGTTGGAAAGATGGCTCCCATTCCACATCCCCATCAGAACAACAGAGCAGGAACATTAGGGAATTGCCTTTTAGTTAATATCCTAATGTGCCTGAAAGCTGGTAGCAGTTGTGTACGGGCCACTGGTTATGTCTTTGTAGAAATAAGGTGATTTCTGAAATGATGTGACCCATAAACTGTGTGTGAAAGCATCAGTGCTGCGTAACTACAAACATATCATACATCTTAAACTTGATCAGATGGAGTGGTCTGTGTTTAATTCAAAGCTTGTTTTTTGTTCTTTCAAAACAGATTGTATTTACTAATTAGTTGACCTGATTAGTGTTCAATTTACTTTTTTTTTTAGGGCTATTAGAGTAAAAAGGGCTAATTAACGACAAGACACACTTATAGGCTTTTTGTTCATTTAGAAATCTATTTCTGAACCCAAGTAAAGGTAAAATGTACAAATCCTCTAACGGAAATTCTTTAAATATACCTGGAATTAAACTACCACCCAGATTTAAGTAAGAGCAAAAAGAGAAAAACAAAAGCAAATAGTAGCACGGGCCAGTGTTTATTAAAACAAAAACAGAAATACAGCAGGTTAATTCAGTGCTATCCTTAAAGGCACACATAATGTCATCACTACTAACAGAGAGGAAATTAATTTCCTACTAGTGTGTGTTAAATATAAAACTGTAGTCAAGATGTACTTAAAAAAGTAAACAAAGCATTAATTTAAGAATCTACAGATGTGATACAGCAGGTTTATTTTTTACTGTTTATAATTTTGGCATAGCTGTATAAAATCAGGAACATATATAAAATAAAATAAAAACAGTAGGCTTTTTCTAACAGGCAACATAATGCTCATATAGTTCATACTATTTCATTAAAATGAGCTTTGGCACATTAGAGTTAGTTTTTGAGTTCTGAGTGGGTCACTAACTGATCCAGAAATTATTAAAACATGTTTTTACTATAAAATACCTCGACCAGTAAGAGACAAAGAGTGAAACCCTGAAGAAAAATGATTTGCAAAGAATAATCAATATCTTAAAGGCCACTGAAATGTATAATTTTCTACTTATTATCGACACAATTTCCTGTTGAGTTTAGAGATTTACACTAATCCAAGCCCATGATGCTGGTAGAGAAAAGCTGTTACGTTTAGGATTAACACTTTCCACAAAGTGTCGGTTTTAATCTACAGATATTTACGCCACTCTGCCATGGACAAACCGTCCTGTGTGTATTAAAAGTAGATTATGGGAATCAGTGTGGCAGAAAACAGAAAATCATCATTTGGCCATTTCCAACTAATTTAAACCACCTGTGATCAAATTCCCCTTGGTTCCTTTCAGAGACTCTTTCTCTCCATGCTGGGATCTTCAATATGAGGCTGAGATTGCAATCTGAGTGCCTAATTGTATAAAAAAAAGGTTTGTTTTTTTCCCCAACCATTTGAGATTCTCAGTAGTACGACTCTGTAAGGCTTCGGTATAGGCAGCATGTAAACACCATTCCAATGAGCTGTGGATCGGAAGAAAGAAAAGATAAGATATTATGTTTACTTAATACCTCCTTATGCCGAGGAGTTACGTGCTCACCTGTACACAAGCAATCCCAACACCCACAGCTCCAATAATCTGTAGATGGTCCAGAATGAATCTCTCCAGTTTGCTGATGCAACCACCCTAAATGAAGAAACAAACAGTGGATTCAGGTTGAATCAGTTGATGTGGGAGTGTAGCTCAAGCTTCACTTCAAAAACAAACACATATATATAAATATATATATATATATATATAAGTTCTGCAGCACTCACTGCCTGTACTTAAGTGCACAACATAAAACAGATGACCTGCTCTTCAGAAGGCAACATGTTCTTCTCACCTCCGCCTTGTAGATGTTGGAGGGGTGATCCCTTGTCCCGCAAAATGGAATTTGAGTTTTACAGCAGCTGTCAGGAACCTTCCGGCCCTCAGAGGCTGAGCTGCGGATCCATCCATTCTCCTCCCAGTCAGTTGAGTTGTGGCTGCCGCAGCATTTGAACTGATGAAGAGAACGGAGAAGAAACGAGGTTTGAACTTTGGATTTGAGAAATCTGAACCAGAAATATCATATAAAGACAATGAACGTTTTATTTTAAAAATGGACAATTCTTACAGAGCTCATAAAGCTATCTAGAAATGCAAGCTTTATAGAAGATCTGTCTTCAGATTGAACAGGAAACATGTGGACCCAGTGGCTTACATCACATGAAGCATACATGCTAAACTTTAAACACTACATCCTCATGGAAAGACATGACGATGGCAGCAATAATATAAGGAAGCTTTTTTTTCAGCAGGGACTTAACAAACCTGGCAGAGGTTTAACTCCCAGCAGGAGAACCACTGAAAATATCCAGCCTGAACTATGATAGAAATTCAGCATATTTATGTGTAAATGGAAACTTTGGACCTAATACTTTAGGACTCTCTTCATCTAATCTTACTAAGGGTCTATAGATGTGCAAAGCTGGTAGAGACAAAAGCTGGTTACAAGACGTAATGACAAGAGGAGGCAGAGAATTAAAGCATGCCAACCTTCATAAATCACGTTTCCAATAACCTGTTTTTCCTCTCTCTACACAGATATGCATCACAAAACAATACTTCTGAAAGGCAATGGAGAATACCTGGGTCCAAAAGTTACAAGAATGCAGAATATGAGAGACCAAATGTAAAACACCAATAATCACCAAGGATAAAAGATTAGTTGTTTTGTATTTTAGAGATTGAGAGCTCAAATAATCCAAACAATAATGAAGGGCTTGATAAAAATCCAGCGAGTTATAAACTGATTCTCATCTGCGTCGTACATTTATTTAGAGGTAAGGGAAGGAAACCTGCAGATATTGGGGAAAAGACATTCTGCATAAGATGAAGAGATAGTGAGGAAAATAGTTATTTGTTTAGTCCAATTCTACCATCAATATATCTACAGTAGTAGGCTGAAATGATACGTATACTAGATATGGCTCAATCAAAAACTATGTGCAAATTTAGGTTATAAATACAATTACTAGATCAGAAGAAATAAATGCACTGAGTTTGACAGATTTTTAAGTGTTAAAGAAACAATCTTTGTTAGACCATCAATTTGTCCATCCGTCTACTTACCTCTTCCTGCAGCTTGTCCACAGCTTGAGTGATGTGCTCATTGTCCTTGCCCAGTCTGTACTTGTTGGTCATAGTGGCCTTCAGGTTCTGCTTTAGCTCATCATTTAGCTGTTCACACAGACACACACATAAAAATGTTGTAGCAACCACTACCATCAAAGCAATAACATAAGTGATGAATTAGCAGCAACCACAAAGTTTTCTAAATATAGCACCTCAGGACGATGGGGATAAAGCCCTCTATTGTGCCATACATGCCATGGATGGCAGCGGCGCAGACGGTAAAGCCGGGATAAAGGAGAGTAAAGTCTGTATTTTTCTCCGTGCTTTAAGCAGTGGCAGAAAAATGCTCACTGGAGGAGCAGGAGGTCTGTGGGGCTCAGTTTCTATGGCAACAAGCCAGCTGGGGAACTACTGGAAATCAAAGCATGAAGGGGATATCAAGGGAATGAATGATGAAAAGATGAATGGAAGACATGGAGAGATACAAGACAGAGAGCTAAAGACAAAGATAGGAGGGAATGGAGGACATGATGAGGAGGAGAAACGAAGGTGTTAAGGTCTCCAAGGTTACCTGTTGACAGTTTAGGAAACAGAGAAAAGATGTGACCCTTCAATCAACACACAGTTACTGCAGCAAAGCAAATGTTGTTCCACTAAACTATTAAACTTAGAAATGTTTTCTATAGATTAATTAAGCAGTTTGCCTCATTATGAGAGAATGTTAACATTGGTATTTGGAAAACAGTTCAGCTTTACTGCTTTCATTGGATTTAAGAGAGATGGTAGCAACCAGATGCAGCTGATTCTTCATAGAAGCAGGTTTCATAGCCAGCTGTTGCACTAAACATTCAGCTTCTTATCACGGAGACAGAAAAACATTAGGAATGTTCCCTAAATAAGTAAACAGTTAACAACACAACACAAAACAGTCAAAAACATATCACAATACTATAATTATATATCTGATGAGTTATTCCATAAAGACCTAAGCTTCAATAAATCCATATTTCCTCACTTTCCTCCCAGCCCTCGGTGACCTTCAGCATGTCGCTCAGCATCATCTGTGCCTGGCCTGATGATCTACTGCAGTGAGACTCTTTCTAACAGACTGCATCTCTCAATGGAAAACAAAAAACCCTTGAAATGCAAAAACTAATAAATCTGCACATCTAAAAGTTCTTCACACACTGATGCTGCAATAATGTGATGTTTGTTGCCTTCATTTCTGCCCATCAAGGTTAAAAAAGGAGCAGTCACAGGTGTACAAAAATATTAAGTCTTCTGTCTAGAGGACACCCAGCATGTTAAGATTTTAGACTACATTAACAATATTCAAAGCCTTAAACACCAAATCCACTCAGCAAAAGAGAAGTTTTAAAGCATCCACCAGTGTCAATGTTTTCTTAAAGAAAAAAAATCTGTCTTTCCCAGATTTAATTAATTTTGGCTTCTGAAAGTAAGAGAGTCACCAAACAGAGATCAAGTCTTTTTAAAGTTCAAATACAGAGCACATAATTATAGATTTTAATTTAATAGTGTGTACAAAATTAAATACATTCGAGTGAAAAAAGGTCCAGCATTTTGGTTTTTATAGCTTAAAATAATTCACTAAGATAGCAGACAACCCAAAATTCCTCATTCTGTCACGTGACCCACTGAGGGATGCCGTGATGTCAGTTTCGTCATTTTACATACCGATTCAATATTTATTCACCTTTGTGAAGGAGTTTTTAGCCTTTAACGAGGACAAATACGAAGCAATCAGAGTCTTAGTTGTTTTATTAATGCTCACTGGTTTAATCACTGCTGCTAAATGTTCTTTGATCTTATGCAGAGCCGGTGGAAGTTCATTATCTTTCAGAGCATTTTCCATATGGTTCTGTGTTTACTTAGTTTAAACCAGAGTGTAACCTTTTGTTTGAAGAGGGAATCATGGGATTCGGACTGGTTCTTTGGTGGGTGGGTTCGGTTTTGTTAGCAGCGTGCTGCTGCGGCCATGGCGTGAAGGCTGGCGGTCAGTGTTGGAGCCCTTCATGCTGGTGCTAGTGCGGTGCGTAGCTGCTGTGCCTGGACAGGGAAGGCAGTCCCTCAACAATCCGATCGCAGCGAGCGGTCGAAGCACCGGGTCATTTCTGCTGTGCGGATGGGAAACATTGCTCTTCAGATGTGGTTTTTATTTGGTTCGCCTCATGGCTTCGGGCCGGTGGGGTTCGAGCTCTGGGTCTCCGCCTGCGGTAACTGACTGTTATCCATCGCAGTTCTTGTTGTTCTGGAGCCTGGACCATAATGATATGGAAAGCCGTCTGGAGCTGCCGCTCTAATAAACTGTGCAACTAGCCAGGGTTCTTTGTTTTATGAAATAAAAAAATTCATAAAAAAAATAAACAATGCTTTGAATCGCCTTTACTGCCATCAGGAACTTTATTAAACCAGAGAAAACAAACCATTGCAACTTTGGTATATTGAATCCAACCGATGCTGTGGGAGCAAGATTGATGATAAAATAATCTGCCGTGAAATAATCCGAACATAGTGTGCTGTATCGGCTTGGACGCCACAGATTGTCCAGTTGCCAGTCTAATCTATTTCCTTTCCAGATCGAAATTTGACGCAAAACTGGGTCGTTTGGATAATTAAAAATTTACACCCGCCGGAGGATGTTTGATTACACTCATAGCTGGGGATCGCTAGAGGCGCCCAGCATACTGTAAAATTCTCTCGATTTGTTTTACTTGGAGCATTTTTAGCGTGATTTAGACCCGCCAAATAGAGAAAGGAAAGAATAATCTACCATCAAACACGATAAAACTGCTCTCGACACACTCCTTTCTATTCGACCTTTAAACAGATGAAAACAAAGATAACATGTCTCCAGCACTCCAAGTTTATAGCAATCAACCGTTATTCTGACTGGAATGCATGTCAATGGAGGAGTGATGATAAGTGCTTGTTTTTTAAGACCAGAGGCCCTTTAAATTATAAACACTAATTTAATGTACTGTAATGGCACCTCTCTGACAGGTGGCTAAAACTGAGCAATGATTCAAAACCTCCTGCTGTATATCCATGAACAGCTGAAGTCATTGTTTTTATTCTAAATACCATAATGTCTAACAGCGGTAACAAAAAATAACATAGCTTCTATTCTAGCATTATAATTACTCTGAAAGACATTTAAGAAACCTGTAGAAATAACAGGTATTCGTTTTCATTGTAACCCATTTTTATAAAACCAAGGTAAAATGATAATAATAAAAACATTCAAATGTGCAGAGGGGCAAAATAATAATAAACACCTAAAACAGGGGAACTTCAATAGGTTATTTTCTTGAGTCAGAAATGAAATAAATTAAATTGGGCCGTCATGAAAAGCTGGTAGCGAACTACATGAGAGAAATTAGCCCCTAAAACCTTGAATATATTAAGCTTAGGTCAAACAAAGCTAGTACCTCTGTAGGCTTGTGATAAATTGGATATTTTCAATAACTAAAGTAGCTCCACTTATTGCAGTACACTTCTAGAGGCGTATGCTGCTGTGCTACAAGAAACCAGACAGCAGCTTCAGAGGTAGACTAACATCAGATCAATTCCTCCTATTAACAGTAAGGTGGATGTCAGTTTAGGGTTTTAGATTTTAAATCAGTAAAGCATGAGATAAACCTAATTTTGATTCATTCAGCTGTGGAAGAATGAGGCTTATACCAGTTGCAGACACAAGTGAGAAAAGTTCTCAAAAAAGGGTTTCACAAAGCTATGACAGGGCATTCAGCCTTGATGCGCGCACAACTGGAGGCGCTTTTCATTTTGTTTGGATTAAATGTACCGACAGTAATATGGGAAGTCAGATATTTGTATTTTTAATAGGCTGTCCCGTGTTTCCTTCCAGCAATCTCATTTATCATGCTGGTTTTGTTGCGGCTAGGATTACAGCACAGCACATGCCATGTGGGAGCAGAAACAGTTGTCTACGTTCTGTTACAAGGCTTCTGATTTCGTGCTTGGATTAGGAGGCACTAAACCCTGCCAGCACGCTCTTTTGATTTTATACCATCACACACCGTTTGTAACACACATTAAAGTCATCACAAAACAGATGGAAGAAGAATAAAATTAATACTAATGATAAAATTTATGAAAACCCAAAGAAAGTAAAGATTTATGACCTTTAGTGATTTTATTTTATGCTGTGCATCATCTGAATATCTTTTTGCACAATAACATGATTCAAATATAAAAACAGTTGGTATTTTAATGAAAATGTGGCTTACCTGCTGATAGTTGATGTACGCCAAGACACCAGCCACGATCTCCAACAGGAAGATACACAGAAGCAGAACAAAGTACTGAGGACACAGAACAAGCAGAGAAGGAACATACAGTCATTGGACAGTTATCAGATGAACAGACAATTTATTTAGAAATTAGATATGATAGTGGCTGAGTCTAACCCTGTTTCCTTTTATTTATCTCAGTTTTCTGTTACAGAACCGTTATGGTATTCCTGCTTAAGCTGCAGCCCTGCTCCAACAACTAGTAAAACTGTAGTAACAGAAAAGCAGGCAGCCCTCTTATTCTAAAGTTAGAAATACCACTGTTGGATATCATGGTTTTATGAAAAAAGCGTCCCAAATCTATATTCCTATTGAGTAACACTATTATAATATTATTATTTCTGTAAAACGGATGTAGAAGTAAAATAAAACAAACTTAGGAAACAGCATCTTAACCCTGTACATTTAACTGACTGCAGGCAATAAATCCTCATGAAAGATGATTAAATCTAAAGTAAATTATAAAAACAATCAATCCTTTTTCTTTTTTTAACTATTTGAATTTTCAGCATTTTACCAAAAAAAGATTATAGAGCTTTGAGCAATAAATTTATCAAGGTTATAATCTCATTATTATTGAGATTGCTTATTGAGAAAGGTTTGCTCTTCAGCATTTATCTTTTTCATTTTCCTGATTCACAAACTTGCTTAAAAAAGTGAGGCTCTCATTTCTGGCAAGAAGAAAAAGCAGACCGTCCTTCTTCAGAATGGTAGAAACGAAGCGATACTATCTGACTGGCCTAGATTCCTCTTTGTTTGCCTCGATCACAGAGAGAAATTCAGCCTCATGAGGTGGACTTACTCTTTAATGGCTCAGCCAGATTAAATCTTTGAACACTTCTTAGACTGAATGTTAAGACAGTCCAGTAAGAAATAAATATTCAGTGTAATAATTTATTCTGAAAGGAAAAGTATCATGAATAGTAAATTGAGGACACCTGCAGAAAAATTAGGTGTTTAAGACAGGATGTGAGATTTAATAACTATTTTTAAGGGGTTTTTTTTTCTACCATATTTTCATCTTTTGTTTTAGTTTTTCAAATCAATACCTTTATAATAAAACAAAGTATAAATCTGGTTACTCATTATTTTTCAGATTTGAAATACAAAGCATTCTTTATTTGTTTTAGCTAATATGATTAAGTGCAATCACACAGCAAAGTTATTTATATCTGACAATTCACTAGTCCGTTTTTCTTAAAGTAAATAAAATATGTGCAAGATGTGAGAATGAACTTGTTGTCACCTGTAGAGACTCAATGGTAACAAAGAGAATTAAAAGAGAATTAACTGAGCCACCCTTCTCTCAATACATCCGGCCACAAAGTAACTCATAGTAAAAACCCATTTGAAGGGTTTTTTTTTCCTGTGGTGCTGCACCAAGTAAAGGCTGTATGGTGGAACAACACATTTTCTTTGCAGACAGCTAATATTTTATTGTTAATTTAATTATTTATAGGACATACATCATGAAAAAAACTAATTTGAGCCTTCAACTATTTTAAAATGCTATTCCTTCTTAAGATTATGCACAAAGACATTCCAGTTGATCAAGAATATCTGAGAAATCCTCATCAGTTCTGCTGTCTGAGCAGAAACAAACTGTGGCTATGAAACAACTTGTTTTTTTAAGTAATTTTTTTTATTGCTCTTCAATAACTTTTTGATGATATTCTTTATTAAGCATGCAGTATCTGCTTAGTTGAATCCTTTCAGATGAAATATTATTGTGGTATAATAGGCTTCCTTTTAGTCTTAAAAATGCATAATTGTTTTGTTATAATGCTGCCACCTCTGGCCAAAAACAGAACTGCAGCATTCTTCTGCTGTTTTTTTTGTACTTTTTTCACCTCACATGGAGTTGCCATTGGTGTCTTAGTTAAGCCGGATACAAGTCACTTCTGAGTATCCACAATCTATCTTCAATATAACGCTTCGATTACTTGCTAGGTTGCTATCGGCAGAACAGCAAACCAGAAGTAAATTCAGGGAAATAGGCTACATAGAGAAAACTATGTTGACTATTAATACTGATCAATATAAAACAAATAGCAGAAGGCAACTCATAAATAAAACATTACATATTAAGATACTGTAGCAGGTTAAAATTTTTAATGGTTTTGGCATTGAGCTTCTTTTTAATTACGACACAAAAGACGCACAGAGAGCAGAAACAAACAGAAACCATGATGAGCTCCATCTTTAGCTCCGCCACCCAGGGCTTCTGGAAGTCATTTGGAACAGGGGGTGCTATTAAAAAGGATTTATTTTTTTTTAGACAAAATAATTATGAGACTCTAGGCCCATTTAAAATAAAAATAAGTAAATAGATTGAGATCTACTACTTTATTTTCATATACACTTAAATGCACGCTACCAGGGTCTGTAACACAGACATAATCAGTTCTCAGGTGAATATACGTGCTATTAATTAAACTTCACCATAACACTATAACAGGGGTCGGGAACGTATGGCTCGCGAGCCACTAGTGGCTCTTTTGATGATATCATCTGGCTCGCAGACAAAACAAAATATTTAATTTGGATAGAATAAAATCTGTTTTAATCCATGCATCGGTATTCCGCTGCTCATGTCCTGTTCAGGGTTGCTATTGGCTGCAGGAGCAGTCCATTATTTTAATTGGATAATAATAGCCTACGTTTGCCGTTGCTGGGTAAACCCCCTTTTGAATCAGTCTGCTCGGGCAGTAGCTCACAGCTAACCTTTCAACGAAGAAGATGGCAAAAAGAAAAAAAGACGAGGAGTATCGTACATTTCAGGACGAATGGACCGAAGAATTTGCCTTTGTGGAGAGAGCAGGTTCTGCGGTGTGTCTTATTTGCAATGACAAAATTGCATCGATGAAACGGTCGAATGTAAAGCGGCACTTCGACACACGCCATGCTACCTTTGCGTCAAAGTACCCGGTGGGGGACAGCCGGAAGAAAGCGTGCCAAGAGCTACTGAGCAGCGTGCAGGCTAGCCAGCAGCAGCTCCGCGTATGGACCCGACAAGGTGACTATAATTCCGCTAACTTTGCTGGATCTTTAGCAATAGTGAGGAACGGAAAACCATTCACAGATGGCGAGTATGCTAAAACGTTCATGCTGGATGTAGCCAATGAACTTTTTGATGATCTTCCGAACAAAGACAAGATAATCAAACGGATAAAAGACATGCCTCTGTCGGCAAGAACTGTTCATGATCGCACCATCATGATGGCAAACCAAGTGGAGGAAATGCAGGTGAAGGACATAAATGCAGCGCTGTTTTTTTCCCTGGCTTTGGACGAGTCAACAGACGCAAGCCATTTGTCACAGTTCAGTGTGATTGCAAGATATCCTGCTGGTGACACACTGCGCGAAGAAAGTCTTGCTGTTCTACCAATAAAAGGATCCACGAGAGGTGAGGATTTATTCCCGTCTTTCATAGAGTTCGCTCAAAGAAAAAATCTACCTATGGATAAACTTCTCTCAGTGTGTACTGATGGTGCGCCGTGTATGGTGGGAAAAAACAAAGGATTTGTGGCGCTTCTCCGTTAACATGAAAATAGACCCATCCTAAGTTTCCATTACATTCTACACCAGGAGGCACTTTGTGCTCAGATGTGTGACGGGCAGCTTGGCGAAGTGATGTCGCTGGTCATTCGTGTGATCAACTTTATTGTTGCCCGAGCCCTAAATGATCGCCAGTTTAAAACACTGCTGGATGAAGTTGGAAATAACTATCATCGTCTGCTTTTGCACAGCAATGTGCGTTGGTTGTCAAGAGGGAAGGTGCTTTGCCGTTTTGCGGCTTGCCTGGACGAAATCCGGACTTTTCTTGCGATGAAAGGCATTGAGCATCCTGAGCTAGCCGAAACTGAGTGGCTCCTCAAGTTTTACTATCTCGTGGATATGACTGAACATCTGAACCAGCTCAACGTGAAAATGCAAGGAACTGGAAATACAGTCTTATCCCTTCAACAAGCCGTGTTTGCTTTTGAAAACAAGCTGGAGCTCTTTATCATGGATCTTGAAACAGGTCGTTTACTACATTTTGAAAAATTGAGAAATTTTAAAGATGCATGCACAGCAAGTGAGCCCACTCAAAACTTTGATCTCCGCCAGCTAGCTGGCTTCACATCCAGTCTCCTACAGTCGTTCAAAACACGCTTTGGAGAATTTCGTGAGCACACTCGTCTTTTCAAATTCATCACCCATCCAAACGAGTCTTCACTGAACACAGCCGACCTGAGTTACATTCCTGGTGTTTCCGTCAGAGATTTTGAAGCAGAAGTGGCTGACTTAAAGGCCTCAGACATGTGGGTGAATAAGTTCAAGTCACTGAATGAAGATTTGGAAAGAATTGCACGACAAAAAGCAGAGTTGGCGAGCAAGCACATGTGGGCAGAAATGAAAAAACTTCAACCCGAAGACCAGCTGATAATCAAAACTTGGAACGCGCTTCCTGTCACATACCACACACTGCAGCGTGTGAGTATTGCTGTATTGACCATGTTTGGATCTACGTATGCATGTGAGCAATCATTCTCACATCTTAACAACATCAAGTCCAGCCTACGATCACGTTTAACGGATGAAAGCCTCAATGCTTGCATGAAGCTTAACCTTACCAAGTACCAACCAGACTACAAAGCCATCAGCAAATCCATGCAGCACCAGAAGTCGCATTAATGGTGAGTATTATAACGACATTATTTAAAAAATAAGTTGAGAGGCTTATTATACTCGCATTTAGTTGAATTCAGTCTTAAAATATGTTATATGGCTCTCACTGAAATAAATTTCCAGATATTTTGCTGTCATGGCTCTCTGAGTCAAAAAGGTTCCCGACCCCTGCACTATAACAACCTAGATTTGGTCAGCTCCCGTCAACCTCAGTCACTCTGTTTATGTCACATGGGACTTTTTAAACTCTAAAATCCATTTACACAAACCATAAGGCCTTAAAGGAATAGTACACCCAAAACATGATTAGCCTTCATTTCTACTCACCCTCATGCTGAACA